TATGGTACATCTTTATGATGTATTTGTTCTTTATTCTTTACCTTTGTTTTACTTTTCAGAGAGGAGGCAAGCTGAAGCTGCTCGCATCAGGGAGAAATACCCTGATAGAATTCCAGTAAGATTTTCACCATAAAGACTATATGCCTCCCATGCCTTTTCCTTTCATTGTTTTTTAATTTTCTACTCTACCTGGTATGCTGTGCAGGTGATTGTGGAGAGGGCGGAAAGGAGTGATATTCCTGACATTGATAAGAAGAAGTTAGTGGCACCTACACTTTATGTTAACTACATATATATTTTTTGCATCCTGCAATTGTGTTTTTACTTACCTGTATCATTATTTCCTACTAATCTACTTTCTCTTTGTATACATTGTACACATGATAAGAAGATACTAAATATTCAGTTTCTTTAATTTACCTCCATTATCAAAGATTCAGAGGAAAGCAACTAAGCAACCTTAGTGTTTTTCCCAACATCTGGCTACATGGGAAGGTTTTTTGTTTATTATAGACACGAATTTATGTTCCACCTATTATTGTTATAAACCTATTCATTATCATATATGACTTGTCCAAGTTTTAAAAGTGATTCACTTGATTACGTTGTCAACTATGAGTGGTTGTTTGATATTCGACAATCATGGATATGAAATTCATTTCTAATGTTCTTTTCTTTGTCAACAATGCAGATACCTTGTGCCTGCTGACTTGACTGCCGGCCAGTTTGTTTACGTTGTCCGTAAAAGGATCAAGCTTAGTGCTGAAAAGGCCATATTTATCTTTGTTAAGAACACTCTCCCTCCTACTGGTGAGCCATTGTCAGGGGGATTTAATGTAATTACATAGTCCAACAATTTTAATCATATTGTGACATTTTTTTGTTTTCCATTTTACAGCTGCTTTGATGTCTGCAATCTATGAGGAGAACAAAGATGAAGATGGTTTCCTTTACATGACTTACAGTGGAGAGAATACCTTCGGGTCTCATTAAAACCTAATAAAGATATCACCAGTCCAGGTAAATAGATGGATAACGAAGAAAAGCTGTAAATCCCTCAGAAGTTGTGCTTTGCCCCACTAGCCTATGACAGCTTCTGTCAAGCTTTGATTTGGATCTATGAATTTGAAATTTAATTTTATGTGAATTGAAAAGGTGAAACTAGTTCCATAAATATTTGTTGATTGCCCTGTGTTTTAATTTCATTGATGAGCTGCTCATTTTGCATTAAAATTTCTGCGCTTTGGAGGGTATGGAATGCCCTGGTTTTTCAGGAATCAATCAACCAAAAATTTTAAAAGCCCAGTCCTGTTAACACCCAAAAATAAAAAAATCCTTAAACAGTGTTTAATTCAGTGGGTTTTGTGTCATATTCTCTATTTTCTTTTTAAAAAAATAATTGATACATTTTATAATTCAATATATTTATTGATTTAGTTATGAAAATTTGTAATAATTTTTTAATGAATATAATGTAAAATATGTTGAATAAAAAATTTATTATCATTTTTTCAAAGGGCCTGTCTGAAAATGCCCTATTAACAGTATTTTATTGTGCGGGTTAACAGTAATATCACATAGTTTTACAAAAGGCTGGTACTGTGGCTACTCTGTTCACTGGCCCCTTACGTTGTTCATCGCCTTCTTCGTCATTTCAAGCATGGTTCAGAAGAAAGACAACGCCTTTCGTTGCTCCATTCGACTGATTCCCCCCAAAAAGCCCTCATTTTCCAACTGTTCAATGGTCTCTTCTGGGAATTTGTCCATCGTTGTAAAGGGCGACGCACTGTTCCAAGACTGTTTCTAGACTGTTTTTAGACCATTTTCTCTTCTGGGAAATAATCAGCCATATTTGCATATGAATTCCCTGTTTCTTCCTTTTTCATTGATAAGATTTGGGTGGTTACAAAATTTCAATTGGTAACCCTAACCTATGTCTGTTTTCACTCAGATTTTAATTGTGGGTGAGAAAGATTAGTGCAAGGGTGATTATGACGTGCAGGCTCTTAATTGTGACGTGCAACCTGTTTTCTAACATTTGCATTTGATTCTTGCATCACTCTGTTTTTCAGCATAATTCTATCTCAGATTCATCAATTTCATTATCCTAGGCTATTTCTATAAAGAATTTTGCTGATCAGAACGCAAAAGAATTTCTAAGAAGTTGGCTTTTTAATTGTATCTTTCCATTTTTGCTTCCTTCTATACTGGCTATCCAATTCTTAACTGAAGACTCCCCTTCTGTTTTGTTGGATTAGAAATGCTAAAACTTATCACTGAAAGAACAATTCAAATAAAAACAGGAAATGGCCCTCCTACGCAGCAAAGAACTCGAAAGTGGAGCAACTTAGTGCTTTCATGCCTTTAAAATAATTTTGGTTTTAAACATTTGAAGCTGCTTTGCCTCAACTCTCAAGTAAGAATGACATGGGCTCACAACTCACGATATTTTTATGTGCAATTGATTTGTGCTGAGCATTAACACCTTATCCATGAGGATGCATGGTTCTCACGGCAATCTTGCTTATTGTTGATTTGTTGATACAGCAGTTCAAATGTGCAGAAGTCTTGTAAGGATGGCAATGGAGCCTTCTTAAACACCAAATGCTCAAAATTTAACAAAGAAATAGTAAATGAAACAATAAACAAACAATGAATCTGAAAATACAAAGCAAATGATTTTATTACAATATAGGGTTGAAAATCCAATTTAAAGGAATACGATCAGCCTGCCAACAGAGGGATAGCAGGAGGTCCTGTCAAGCTGCCATGGTAAACAATGTTGACCTATTGACATTAGTCCCACTGATTTGATTATGATTATTGAGTCTGAGATTAGATCGACCATCTTTCAAGCAAAATTTAAGAATTTGGATGGCTGTTCTCTGCCAAGATGCTGTCCAACAATGATTCACATGCATCTTCAAGCAAGTCTAAAACCTGCCATAGAAACAAAAACCACGACTCACATAATGAGTTCCACTACCAAAACATGCTAAACTAAATCAAAACAAGAGATATCCATTACTCTGAGACAAATCATCAGTCATATTGTCACCCTCTTGACATATAAATAGCCTGGCAGACAATGATTCACATGCATCTTCAAGCAAGTCTAAAAATGTTGCAGGAAATTTCAGGAGCATGGAACATAACAGCAGAATCTGTTAAGGGAACTTGGTTTCTTCAAATGTGAAGAGAATAACTTATGTAAAACCAAAATCAAATCAGTTGGTTGCAACTTCTGTTCACTGTAATACATTAATTCTCAATTGAAGTAACTGATACTTTTCAAGGTTTTGTTTTTGGGATGAAGCTCTTCACTGGTTTCTTTGAGCAGAGGTTTTATTTAATTGGTGGTGATAGAAACAAGAGATTCTTCCGGGTTTTGAAGATTGATCGATCAGAGCCATCTGATCTCAATATTAGTGAAGACCCAATGGTTTATTCACCACAGGAGATGAAGAACTTGCTTCAAATGATTGCTGAAGGCAATCATGCCACAGGTGGCTTGACCTTTGTTGGAAAAGCTTACGGGGTTGCAGGTTAATGTTGGGTTGTTCTTATTATGGCACTTAAAGGATGGATCCTATGGAGATACTCCAATTGGCTTTGACCATCGCAGGTTGCATTAAATTTTTGGAGCCACCCATACTTGATCCTGGTAACGAAGAGGCATCAAATTGGATGTACATGTGGTCATGCAATATATGATATTGATGAAAGCCAGTTGATTACTATTCCACATGTCTCTATTCAATCTGATGTGGCACATTCCAAAACTGAGCTAAGGTATTTCCTCCTCCTCCTCCTCCTCCTTCTTCTTCTTCTTTTTAAATTTTAAAACCATAGCTTTGAAATGATTATGGAACAATAATTTCCAGTTCAGACACAGAAGCAACATATGACTATGAAGAATCATCAATCACATAGAAAACAATACTCTTGGAAGGATCACAGAGTTAAACGACGAATAGGAAACAAAACAGCATTTTCTAATCAAAACCGTCGCAGAGGAAGTTAAAGGGAAACATAATAGAAAACAGGAAATGAAAATGAGATAAATACCCGCAAATCAAAACAGCTGCATTGCAGTTGCAGAATTTCCCTGGTTTTTTTAGACTTCTCTCGTGAGCCTTCCTCTGCCCGACAAGTGTGTTGTGTTGTCTTTCAATGAACTCTGAAGCTGAGATCTTGTCTATATTCAGGTTCAAATAATTCCTTGTTTTCGTTTTCAGAAGAGAGAGCGAGGGCGAGCTAGAATGCTAGCAATTCCAATTTCTAATTCAACTCCATTTCAATTTCTGATGTTAAGCTGTAGATTAAAAATGGTCGAAGCCGGTGAGAGAATGGTGAAAGATCAAAAAGTAATCAAAATTGAAGTTGAGTTGGTAGTATCCTTACCAAGAATTCAATTGCTACTGATGCTGATAACTAGTGGAAGAACCAGAGGTTGTAAAATAATAAGGATAAAGAGGATATAACGGTAATTTTTATTGGAAAAATCTGCACCTTCGCCAAATCCGTCCCTTGGAAATCTGCAGTTGTGAGGGGTTGTTGAGGGGATCCAAACCTCCTCCATCTC